CCAGAGAAGGGCAACGAAGCTGGTGAGGGGTCTAGAGCACAAGTCTTATGAGGAGCGGCTGAGGGAACTGGGGTTGTTTAGCCTGGAGAAAAGGAGGCTGAGGGGAGACCTCATCGCTCTCTACAACTACCTGAAAGGAGGTTGTAGCGAGGTGGGTGTTGGTCTCTTCTCCCAAGTAACTAGCAATAGGACAAGAGGAAATGGCCTCAAGTTGCGCCAGGGGAGGTTTAGAATGGATGTGAGGAAAAAACTCTTCACCGAAAGGGCTGTCAAGCATTGGAACAGGCTGCCCAGGGAAGTGGTTGAGTCACCATCCCTGGAGGTATTTAGAAGACGTCTAGGTGTGGTGCTTAGGGCATGGTTTAGTGATGGACTTGCCAGTGCTACGTTAATGGTTGGACTTGATAATCTTAAAGGTCTTCTCCAACCTAAGTGATTCTATGATTCTATATTATGATAGTTTCAAGATGATTCACACCTTATCAATTTTGCTACCAAAGCTTGACAGCCATGAACACTAACAATACGGATTTCTAATTTATTGTCTCTAACAAATAATAAACTAACAATTGTTCCCTGCTGCAAATTTATGATTGATGAAAGACAAACCAATGAAACTTTTACATTAAATCAGCACACTGAATCTTCAGCGCAAAGATGCACAGGTTACTAACTAAATTGAGCAGACAAAGTCTGCCTAGCAGACTAACTGTACAACATTGATTCATTTTAGGCACTTGGAAATGCATCTCATAATGTTAAAATTTAGGATACGTAAAATGAGCACGATTCTCACTCATTTCTTTCATCCAATGAGTCCCTTGAAATTACTTTGGATGTTGCCAACTGATATGCAGCATCCATATTGAAAAGTTCCTACTTCTCTATGCAATTTTATACTTTCTGTTCATCCATATGATGAGAAATATCACAAACATAGCATCTTTCACTCAGAGATACTTTAAAGAAAGGAAAAAAAATTATATTCCCACAAAGACCCTAGGCAAAATGACACCAAACGTAAGGTCTCTTCCATATGAACATCCCCTTCTAAGTCTCATGAAAAATTGAGAACGTTTTTATTAACTACTAAAGACCAATGCTGCATCTAGCATTGCAACTAGCACCTTAAAGGCTAGTAAGTGCCTTCACAATAATGTTGAGTCAGAAATGAGCATATGGAGAAGAATACAGTTAAGTTCAGGGAACAAATAACAGAAAAACCATGCTTTGCCACTCCCATCAACATGCCATATTGCTTGTGAGCAGTAGAGTAACCAATTTCTGCAAGATTAGCCGGGAAAAACTGCGGCACAGTCTAGTTTGCATCTTCTACTGTTTTCATCTGCATGTAAAAGGTGTCTAAAATTACACATGTAACAGTCTGATGAATGATAATATCTGTATTCTTAGTGCAGTTCAAAAAAATACCTCCGGAGCTATATAGTCAGGTGTGCCACAAAAGGTTGTGGTGGTCACTCCATTCAGAATCCCTTCTTTGCACATGCCAAAGTCAGCCAGTTTACAGTGGCCTTCTGCGTCCAGAAGAATATTGTCCAGTTTCAGGTCCCTGAAATAAAAAGGCCCAAAATTAAATCAACTCTCAAATTTCGATCATGTGCTCCTGAATTTCATCATGAACTACAGAATATGATAAATAGATGGTTTCACAAACACCACTGAGAAAACATCCTTCACGTGTGCATGAAAAGTTGGTAGCAGTCACTAAATAGACCTGGTTAAAGGCAATAAGGAAGCAGGCAATGACAAGCATTTTGCGAGACCGGGCCTTTACTCTCTCTTGAGCTGCATGAAAGCACAGCTGTATTCAAGACAGAATCAGAAAAGTTTGGAAAAGATCTCAGTCTTGTTTGCTACAAATCTAACATTCTGTCTGTGTGAAATAGGTCAATCTAATGAAGCCATTCTCCCTTTTTGCATTAGCACAAAGTATGGAGTACCAATTTACCCACACTCTATCATATGGGTTGAATTCATAGGTACTTTCAAACTTAGATTATTTTGAACTGGATTCTTAATGTATATGAGCAATTCAAAGTTCAGATTGCAATGAGGGGGATAAAAACCAATGCTCTCATCCTTGGGAGCATTATTTTCTGCAGTTTAAACCTGCACAAAAATAATCTCACAGGAATATTTTGCATTCATTGTTAAACAACGCATCTTAGCAGCTGTCTCTGATCAGTTGTTGTACAAATGTCTTTGTGTCAAAAATACACAATTCTTCAGTTATTAAACTGGGTGAGGTCAAAAATAGGTTGAGAAAGGGATATCCACCTTTCCTGTCTTGCCCTCTGCACATTTTCTAAATATACCATTGATGGTTATCGCATATTCCAACACAATGGATGCTAGGTACCATTTAACTTACCTGCCACTTGCCTTAAGCTAAACTATAAAAGGATCTGGAAAGTCAATGCATAAAAGAACACGGACTTGCATGAATAAAGCCCCACAATTAAAAATGTTTTATCATGTATAAATAATAAAACAAACATAAAACAAAGGCCCATCCCCCCCCCCCCCCCTTATATTGCATGGACCATTTCATTTTTATACTTCTGTCTAGGCTTTAGGTACCTCTGCCTTGTATTAAAAATACACGGTAATAAATGAAGGCATTGTGTGTATGAATGCATACAGAGGTGAGAAACAAAAGCAGAACACATGTCCCTAGGTGACTCTGTGTGGACACTTTCTGATCAGAACTTTTTTCCTAGAAGAATTAAAGAAATTTCCATAGGTGGAATTGATGAGAAAAAAAGTGTGTGTAGGCAGGTTCTAAATCAGATAGAGGAATAAAACCCCATGCCAGCCTCTGTAAACAAATTTCACCCCAAAAGCCTATGAAAAGATACAGATTTTGTTGCAAAAATCCTTTATGCCAACAAGTTCCACCTGAGTGAGGGATGAAAAGTCTTTACCTTACTCTGAGGATTTTTTTTCAGAGAAATATCTCCCTGTCAGCCCCCAGACCTTAGACTGTAACACGGTGGAAGCATTCACACACATTAAATGATTAAACAACCTTTCCAATGCTGCATGATGTTAAGAGTTTTTACAGACATGTCCAAGGCTACAGTATGCTGGGATTTCCCCAGAAATGTTCTTTTCTCCCTATCACCCCAATTTCAGTAGGTGGATTTTATTCTTTTTTTTTTTTTCTTTCTTTTGACACTTGTTCAAAATTTTCAAATGTGCTGTCCCACCTGTATTTAGCATATATTTCTCAAGCATGTACGCAGGACAGCATAAAAATCAGATATTTCTGGGACACAGTGGACTTACTGCTCAAGGTCTGCATAATCATTGTACATCCGTGCATTAAATCAGACACTTCTTAGAAGCACTGGATGACGTACTGTCCATGTAGAGATCAGTTGAGCTGTGTACATGTTGCAAAGTGGTTTGTGCATGTACAAGAAGTCTGACATGGGAAAACAAAGCCAGATTTACCTCACTAACAGTAAATCCACTGTCTCCCACATAAAATAGCTTTACGAGATATGGTTTATGTAGCTGAAGAATATACTGGCTGTAGAAATGTTTGTTGCAACCAATATGTCCTACACCAGACTTTGCTATCGCCAGATCAGTTACGCTGCTCTTGTAGGTCCTCAGCTGGTCACCCATGTAAGGTCCCTTGGAGCAGACTACATATTTTATCATTCCTTAAGGTCATCCTTTTTATGAGTTCCTAAACAACCCAAGATCCAGCTGGCTACAACATAATCTCCTACATCTAACCATTTATCCCCTCAAATAACCACCTCTTCTTATCCTTGGAAAGTGATCTACAAGAATTGTCCAACATCATGCAAGGGCAAACAGATGTCAACAGCTCTGTGCCCCCCAAAGAAGTCAAATAAACAAAATAAGCTCCCCACTCCAAAAATCATGTGCCTTCCCAAAACTGCTCTTTCAGTGAATTACAAGTGTTACAATCAAGACCTGCATGTTTTATTATTTATACATGATAAAATGTATACTGTAACATCATCAAGTAGAATGTGATCAAGCACAAGAATAGGATAAGGCTCTTGCAGATGGGAGAAGGAAGCTGTAGCTTCAGCTACAGCTGTAGCTGTAGCTTTTAACCTTCCAAATGCAGCGTTATCTTGGATGTTCCTAAGCTAAGGAAGAATAAAAACTGTATTTCAAAAAGTCAAGATGTTCAGGTAAAGAAATCAAAGTATAATTATATTTGATGTACTCTGGGAACCACTTCCAGCCACCATCACAACAGACTGTTAGGAAGAAGGTCATAATACAAATAATTATGACAGGAACTGATGAAATTCAAGATGCTGCTCAGAAAACTGGATACACCTTAATTCAGAGTGGTAAGTGATCATCAGAAGACTCCTATATGTTATCTTAACTCTGATCCCAGAAGCAGGACTTCCCAGTGAAGGCAGGTGACACAATGGAGCTGTTAGGACCTAAAATTGTTTAAGTTTCATTTAATGCCACCCATATGCTAGCCATGGAATTGAATGGAGATACAGTTGGGAACCCAAGAAACTCCTAAGCTAAGAGAAACCTCAACAGTAATAAAACACTAACAGCAAGCCACCACATAATGGAGAAGGACAGGATACTCACCACTGCCTTTACTTCCTTGAAGATTTGTATAAGACACAGAAATTAGCAATAAAAAATTAACCTGACAGTGGAAAAAGAGAATGAACAAACTAAGCAAAGAGTCTAAATATTAAATTCTGACTACCTGCAAAGACTGACAGTGAAGTTTTAAGCCTATCTGTAAAAGCACAAGTCAATATAACTTTCTTACCATTTACCAAACTATAATCCTACTTTACAGAAGAAAAACATCTGGGACCCCTTCATCAAGCCAAAACAAAGGAGTGAAGCCTGTAAGCGTCTTCAAAACCCTATTGCAGGCACTGAGGACATCAGCTTAATTACTCACGCAATAATGGAATTTAATACCAGTAGATTTTTATTATCACAAATACAAACTGCACCAAAGTTTCAAAAGAAATTCGGAAGAGGCTAAAACAACAGCAGCATGACTCCCATTAAAGTACAGATGGGAGGTTAAAAGGTAAGCTGGGAGTCTGCCAAAGTGCCAAATTCATAGCTAGCCCGCAAGATTATCATTGTCCATAAAAGTGCTTGCACTGAAAAACATTCAAAACCATTCTGTCAAATTACAGTTGCCACATTAAAAAAAAAACAAACCCAAACAAAAAACCCAAACAAGAAAACCCATCAAAACCCCGTAATTATCCAACTTCGGAAAAAGAAATCTTAGTTAACTAAATAAATGTGAGAGAATAGGTAATGTGCTATTTAACACCTCACAGGAAAAAACCTAAAACAAAACAGACAGAAATGAGGAAACAAATGAAAAAGTAACAGAAGAAGAGTTGTCAAGGAAGCTTGTCTTTCCAGAGCAGCAGTCTCACTGAAAAAAAACTTTAAGTTTTAGTTTAGGACTTATATCTCCCCAGAACTGTTTTAAGAAACAGCCAGCTCTCCTACATCTCAAAAAGTAGACGGTTATCAATCTCTGGAATGTAAATTAATTGTCTGTACGGAACAATCCATTCTGTCTTTTATTTGGTTCCTGGTATTAGCGCCAGTTGTCTACCTCTAAAACAGAGCGTACCAAATAATACAGTGTCAGATAGCTCAATGACAAAGGTCTATTAAATTCTTCTTTTTCCCATTTTGCATTCTCTTTGTAGGAACTAAGTCATCTGTGTCTGACAAAATGAGTTCCTACAACCTGAGTAATTACATGCAACTGCAAACAACCTAACCAGTTAAGCCAGGAAAACACCCAGATTGCTTGAATGCAGTAATGCTACATTAAGCTATTTCTCTCCTTTGTTTGTTTGCCAAGATACTTTGTACAGTCAGTTCAGTTGACTTGAGCAGTCAATTGCATAAAATGTTTTTAAATTTTTTTTTCTTTCTCAGAAAGCATTAAACAAAAATTTAAGCCTTGGTTTCTATTTCTGGATACCTGCCAGCATCGCAATCACCTCAGAAGCTGGAATGATTGGCAGGATCTCAAGAAAGAATCAGGATTATAACAGTAAGGTTTGTGCAAGTCAGAACAGAAGAGCGGGCGAACTGCAGGTAACCTGCGAGAAAACTTCCATAACGCTCACTCCTTCCTCCCCACGCCAGTGCCATGAGACACCGCCTGCCCTGGCTTCCCACAAATGCTCAGTGGATGAAGACTTCACAGGACTGGGTTCTTAAAGTCTGACTCCCAACAGTAGCCAGTGAGATAACCGCCTTGTGTGCATGGCCCTATGTGTCACATGTGTCATTTAGATAACAGATAATTTTCTTGTTGAAAGTAAGGCAATTAAACAGTCAAGATGGGTTTTGACCAGTAAAATCAGAAAGTCTGCCAAACATTACAAACAGTAGCCTTTGAACATGGTAAACATTAGTGACTAAATAAATCTGTATTTGAAGAACAAGATCAAGTAGCTGAGAAACATGATCGCAAGCTGGTTTAAGCAATCACTTTACAATAAAATGTCTCTGCAGCATCTGCTTCGACTC